TTTTGGCTATAAAATGTGACCATTAGTAGGCAGCTGCTGGGAAAAGGAAGATTTAATCCAAATGTAATATAAAAAAAATATGCAGATTGGGGCTTTGTAGTAAACCTTCATAAAATGACTCACCAAATTCACAGCATCGTGCTGGGAAAAATTAGAGTAGGTGGCTTTGCTTCTGAAAGGCATACACAGTGTACAATTTTACCATGCAAAATGCTTTTGCTACTACAATTTTCCTTTGCTTTGCCTTTTTGAAAAGTAATGTTCCTTCCTATTTTAGTAGCACCATTTGCATTCCTATTATTCACACTGAACTGTGATTTCCATTTTTATCTCCCCTTTGTTACTTGTTTTCATTCCAGCATTTCTCCTCTTGGTCTTTGCCTTGCCTTTATCTTGCCCTTAAATGGAGGCCTCGTGCTATGGGGAGAGTGCCATGAATTTTCTAGCCATCATGCCAGGCCTTGTCCTAATTTAATGATATAAGTTCCCTTGAACCACTGCCAACAATGCTAGGACATCCCACACACATTTGCTATGGAAACACCTTCATGACTAATGGTCTCTCAAATTAAGGCATTTTAAAATTGAAGCTAGAAGTGGTTTTCATTTTTTTCAAAACATATTCTGCAGTTAAGGAGAAAATATAGCAATGCTCTAAAACTTATGAGTTGCTATATTATTATGCCCAGCTTATCTGAGAAGTAGACTTCTACAAGCCTGATCCCAAGGTATGTGCATAATAAAAGCAAGAGCTTGTTTGTACTCAACTGTGTCTTTACCTGAGCAGCCTCTGTTCTCTTCTACTGCGTGTTTATGAGTTCAGGTGTTTGGGTTATGCCAAGTTCTTTTCCTTAGAAGCAGAGACATTCAAGACCCTGCATGATTTGGATCCCGCCAAATCCCCAGATCACACCCCACCAGGTTTCCTTCTCATGCTGTAATAGCAGATTACACAGACTTCCCCTGACCCACCAAGCCGTTCTGTGACTTTGTTCAAACTATTGCCTCTAAGAAGACTGTGTCTGTTTTCCAAATGAATCTTCCTTTCATTCTTAAACACCTGGTTCAGGCATCACCTTCTCTAGGAAGATCTCCTGGTCCACCTTCTCCTGCCTAGAGAGAAATGATCATTTCTTCTTCTACCTGAGTTCTTACATGCTCATGGAACTGTGACCATCTACAGGGCAAAGGTCGTGTTTTGTTTATTTGTTCCCCACCACCTGGCACCATGCCTCATTAGTGTTGGTTTTGCTCAATAAATGATTGTACATTAAATGACGGAATGAGTAAATGGGCATGTGATGTGTTCTCCTAGGTGTAAAAGGAAACTGCACTATGATCTACATGTTTGTCGTGTTGAAGTGTCTGCATTTAGATTTCTTATGTTTCATGTCTCTGTTTGGAAGGAATTGGTTTTAATACATATCTCTGATTTTTGGCCATGTTGAATAAAATAAAAATGGTAGGCACTATAGCAAGAAAGAAATAAGATATTTTGTTTACTTTGAAGGAGGAAGTATGGGCTTTGCCACTCTCTGTTCTTTTAACAATCCAATCTTCAAAACTCCTGCAGACAACTGTTCCAGGACTCCTCTTCACCCTCTGTTGGGCCTTACTACAGATGCCTCAATACTGCCTGCATCGGACAACCCTTGTTTCTGCCAGATTCCTCTAATCCTCACCTTCCATTCCCTACTCCCGACCCTAATTGAAGACTGACTGCCATGGGGTCATGTCTACAGATCCCAGTGGATGAGTGGCAAGAGTTGCCAATCTGATTAATTAATCCAACTGAGGGAAAACTGCAGTGGTAGCTGCCTGATTGACCATAAGAATCAACTATGTAAAATTATAGATGGCTAAGGCTTGTTCTGATGTATTCCTGTTCAGTAGGTTTGGCAAATGATCTCTATTATCCTTTTAGAGCCTTTTTGTGATCCTAGTGATAAGGCAAGTTTTGGAACTACTTGATGAGAAGCACAATTACAGGACACCCATTATACTGTCTAACAAAAGCCATCCAAACAACACACCCTGCTGTTGTCCATCTTCTGAATTGGGCAAGGCAGTGACTTTGCAACTTGGTGTAGAAGACAGAAGGGAAACATCTTCCTTCGTAGGAAAGCAGAAGTCATCCCTATTCCACTTATGCCTTTAGAATCTCCAAATGCAATAAATTCATTTGGGGTTGGCTCTTTGATGGCAGAAGTAAGATTTTATTCCTTATTATATTACATTTATGTCTTTGCAATAGATGTGATTTCTAGACACAAGTTCATTTGAAAGCTAATAAACACATTGTACAAAAAGCTATTTCTCACTCCTCCAGCTCCTACTGAAGGGATAGATAAGAAGTCAGAAATCCTTATGCCTAGGAAAGCAGATGATTCCATTTACACTGTTTTTCTCAGTATTAGATTTTTATTACACTTTTCCCTAACAGCCACTGTTCCTTTCCTGACTCCCTCACTGCAGAGTCCAACAGAGCAGCTTTCTCTTATGCTGAACAAGTTATTTTTTTTTCCTGAGACTTTGTTTCCATTCACTAAATACTTGGTGGGCTCCAATAAAATCTAAGTTGGCAAAATATCTCAAAGAAATTAAGGACCTAAGTTTAGAGAAGATGGAAAGTGCATTCTCAGAGCAACTGGGACTACCTGTCCTTAACCATAAGAGCGACAAAGGAGGAGGCAGCAGTGGCCCTTTTCCTCAGTCCCACTGAGCAGCATCTATGTGAAAAAAACGAGCTCAGCTGCTAACAGCCTGGGGAGGAAGCGCTATCTACCACATCGCAGCCAGCTGAGAAGAACAGGATGTTATGAGTACAACGCGAACCTCAAAGCTAGAGTCAAAACCATATTTCCCAAGAAGTGTTTACCTTTTTCTTCAGTCTTCAAGAGAGAACTCTGCTGTTCTATAAAGTGTAAGCAAACCCTACCTGAGAGAAGAGCAGTGCAGAATGGATAAACCTCCTCATTATTTCCATTTTATTAATGAAAAGAAAGCTCACTCTGGGTTTATAACAACATACCACCAAAGCAGCCTGGTCACTCTTCCCTGATTCTTAAAGGACCCGAACTTTACCTCCAAGTTCGCTTGTTTGCAGCCAAAGTGAGCCACAGAGAAGTTGTAGGGTGTGCATCAGATAAATTAGAGGTTTTGCTAGACTCTTAGACTATAAAATGAAGGCACAGACATCATTTGGGATTCTTCTGTTAAGCATTGTCTGGTACTGAAAGCAAAACAAAATAATGAAAGGAGGCACTGACAAGGAAACAGGAGGTAACAAGAGTTAACCCTAAAGTTGGCCATGCTTAGTAAATACTCATTTGTTAACTTCAGTGTGTCCCTTTGTAAATTGCTATGAAAAAAAAATGAATGCTTGATAGGTGCAGTCCACTAGCTGTCATGCCTTTCATCAAGTGTCACTGCTTAGTTGATAGCATGCTGGTTGAGCATGGAGTTTTAGAATCAGACATATCTGGATTTGAATCTGGATCTACTACTACTTGGCGAGGGATCTTACAGAAGTTACTTAATCTTTCTGAACCTGTTCCCTTTCTTAAAAAGAACTATTGTGAGAATTAAATAAGAGAATGCATATAAAGGATTTGTATAGGGTCTGTCACTTAAGAAGTGCTCAATAAGTATCATTATTATTAAATCACTGTATTAATAAGGACTCAATTGGTTATAAGTAAAACAGATCTAATTCAAACTGGCTTTTAACGAAAAGGAAATTATTGCCACATGTAATTGAAAACTTCAGTGGCAAGTTTGTTTCAGGGACATAGGGAACTGGGAGCTCAAATGAAGCCCCAGGATGTGATAATCAACTTCCCATTTCCCATCTTCTTCTATCCTGTGGCTCTACTTTGTTCTTTTTGCCATCATTCTCTATGGGCTTTTTCCAGAACAATCCCAAGCTTATATTCTGCCAGCTGGGGAACCTTGGCTCTATCTCATTGATTGGATCACATGCCCATCCCTACACTTGTCTCTGCGGCAGAAAGGGAGAGACAGAGAGAGACTTAAATTGACCAAGCTTGAGTCATGTGGTCAACCTGGAGCTGGAGGGTGGTGCCAGCTTCACTAAAGACACAGCAGCTGAGAGTAGGAGAAGGGAGTTCCCCAAAAGAAGATGTGGGTACGCTGTTTCTCAAGAAAGGGGGCATGGATGTTGAGCAGATATCCGCAGAGTCTGAAAATTAACTTCACTTTTCTTAAAGACACTTGCCAGGAAATAGAAGAAATGCAAACATCACCTTCAAATTGCAAGAACAAGGTCTGCAAAGATAGACAACTTCCCCCAGACCCCTTCTTAGGTGAGAGAAATAGGAATGTCAGACTCATAATCCTTCAAGACTTTGAGTTGCCAGAGGACATTCCAAGAATGGTAATACTATTCTTGATGTCAAGCTAAAGGTCACAGGTAGACTGGCTTTTCCTGGTTGCCACGAATGGTTTGGGCATTAGTGGATTTATTCTGATTCATTTGGAATTGTTTTAACATGTTTCATCTGTATTTCATGTTGAAAATAAGTCCATCAAACTATTTGCTTTTCATATGGCTCTAATTACCTCTCACTCAGAAATAATATCCCTTCATCCTAATTATTGCTTCTTCCAGTATTTCATCAGAGGGGAGCTAGAAATGTCCCCAGGTGTTCTAACATACCTGCCAAAACTGATTACAGCTCTTTTTTTAAAAAAAATTAAAACAAACTTGTGTGATATATTTCTTCTTATAAAAGCAATTTATGTTTAGTTGTAGAAAAGTCAGAAGATACAAATAGGCCACAAAAAAGAAGGGAGGGGGAGAGAGAGAGAGAAGAATGAAGAAAGGAAGAAAGAAGAGAGGGAGGGAGGAAGGAAAGGCAAAAGGAAGACTTGAAGAGAAACCAAATCACCCGCCAGAGAAGCCATGTTAGCGCCTTCTTGTTCCTCATTTCGAAGCCTTTTCTTTACATATATAGTGGATAGTATTTTGCTTTGTTTTCTTTTTTTTACAAAAATGGGATTATACTGTTCTCTAACCTGCTTGTTCCACTACTGCTTACATCTGAATTATTAATTATTTCTAGTACATTTAGATTATTCCTAAACATTAAGTGAGAGACAAGTTTTTGTTGAAATCTTTTGATGTTAACTTGATAATGTTGAACGAATGTTGAACAAGTTTTCTCCTGGTTTATAAGTTTTATTAAGCTCTCCAAGGTGTTTCTAACTTAAATTTTAAAAAGACCATTTACACCCTCATTTTAAATGGCAGAAATAGGTATATTTGGAAGAGAGAGATGGACAGACAGACAGGTAGATAGCATAAGTTATTTAATCAAATTCTTCTTGTTGGACATTTAAGTCCATTTCAATTTTGAGCTATTACAAATATGCAATTAACTTAACTATTGATTTAAAGCTTTAACCACATAACTATTTCCCTATTATACTGGCAGAAATGACATTGCTGGGAATGTTTAAAGTGTGGTGTAACACAGATTGACAATTTGTCATAGCTCTTAACAGGTAGCTTTTTATTCCACAGAACCCTCATATTTCAGACACCATTAGCACTGTATAATGAGACAGCCCATCCTCCTGCACCGATTGGGGGAAGAAGCAGCATTTCCTGCATTGTTTGTTTGGGTCTGTGACTGATTTGAGGTCCTTCCCTCCAACCTGAGGCAGAGTTGGGTGTCTCTGTTTACATTTTTGGAGGACACACAGGCAAGCCCAGGCAAAGCTGAACAGCACAGGGCACATTGATCACCTACTGAGCATCTGGCGATTCCCCTGGGGGAAAGAGAATGATTCTGAGAGTTGGGGCACAGCCAATGGGAAATTCACACAGATGAAAGCAACAAGTCTCATGCTTGCAGTTTCAAGAAGGGGGAGGGGGGAAGGGAGTGGGCGTGCAAGAAGGTGACGTGAAATAAAAGGCTCCACTGAGTTTCACTTGTACATATGAAAAAGTTTATACCAGTCTTTTAAAATATAGCAATTGGATGTCATAGAAGCAAAACTGTTCTCTGATTTGAGATGTATTTCATCCAGGGTTTTTACTAAAGAATTTACTGGAACCGTTTTAGTAACCCCAAAATAAACACTGATTGGTTGTGTGTATATTTATAAAAAAACATATCTGGTCTGGGAGATCTGGGGCAATCTGGATCATAACAGGAGACAAGGAAATCAGAGTGTGCTAACCTCCACAACTTCAAAGACTAACAGCATAGTCAAGGCTTGCTGTTGTTTACAAACTGTGTGTGAAAAGCAGCCGCAAGACTGCTTTCAGCAGCAAAGTCCCTCCACAGCAAAACAACAAAACCACAAGATGTTATTGGTAATTTATAATTTGAAGCTGAGCACATACGAATTCGTCTTTTTAAATTGTGGGCACATTTAATTTGGACTGCCAAACAGTGGTCTTACGGTTTCAATTTTTCCCTTGGAGAAACTTCGGTCCGAAAAACCCTTGTCAGAAGTTACCTCCAGATGGATTGAAATAGCAGGAATGATCCCTCCCTTCCCTCAGATCTGATGTTTGCTTGGCAAGCACTTTTTATCAGATTATCTTGCCATAAAAAAAAAAAAAATGTTATATCACCTCAAGGTGACACTCCCTCTAACAAAAAGTGAAGCAAGTTTCTGTTGCAAAAGCCCCTCAAGTTAACACACCCTATATATTCTTCCTAATTGCTCTTTCCTTCGAAGTCCTATATGTGTAACCATACTTTCACAGGTGGAAAAGCTAAAACACAGAAAGATTAAATGGCCTCTCTAAGATGACCTAGCAAATCATCCACCAAGGGCATGATGTCTGATGACGTATGCCATACAAATGTTTACACTGACAACTCGACCTCATCCTTGTTTCTGTGCAGAAAAATAAGGGAAATCATTTACTGGCCCCAAAGACCTCACAATGTTATAAAGATGGCAAATTCAATCAGATCCTCATTAACTAGATCCAAATGAGGCCTGACAGGGTCTTCATTAGATCTAGCAATCCTGCCTGTTTTAGCTCTGAGTCCCTTGACTTGTTCATGTCACCATAAATTGGTTGTTCTGAAGTCAGAGGGGACTCTCAACAAACAACTTGCAGATGATGGTCACCCTGCATGAGAGATAAAGACAAGGTTCTATTAGGAAAAAAAAAAAACAAAATCAAAAACAAGAGTAGCAGGAGCAAGGCCTGGCCACAGAAATGAGCTTGCTAACAGGCTGGAAATAGACCAAAGAAAACCCCAGTTATTTAAATAAACTGAACAAAAAGTAATAATAATAATAATAATAATAATGAAGACATTGTCCCAATTCCATCATGGAGATTGATGTAAACCTCTTTTCTGAAGCTTAATTCCAAGTCACTTAAGTTCCATTTCATCAATTTTATGTTCCTGGTCCAAAAATGGCATCCTTTAGATCTGTAAAAAAATATTCATCTAACCCTATTTTTTCACAATGGAATCAAACTGTGTCACTTTTTTCAGAGGTGGTGCCAGCAAGACAGCAAGACCAGCAGTTGAGATGAGCAGAGTCCATGGCCAATGAGCTAATGAGACTTGAGAGGGGCCCAAAAGCCGGCTTGCCAAGGTGCCAAAGGCTCCACCATTAAAGTCACTCCGATGAATGGGGCATTGCATTTCCAAAATGCTCCTGTCACAGATGCTAATGCAGACCTAGCACAGTGCCCAGGCCATCATAGTCACTCAATGTTTATTGAACAAATAAAAGAATGATTGTTGCCTGTGAAGGATAATAAGCTGTGATTGTATTGGTTAGATTCTATGCCAAAAATATGTGAGTATCTGGAACATATTAACTTATTTGCTCCCACTATATGTGGTTGTAAAGTAGGTTCTCAGATTGGACCTCTGCCAACAAGGCCAAGCCAGCTCTGAAAGAAATCGAACACTAGAAAGGGAAGTATGGATGGAGGCAATGTGATATGAGAAAAGAGACTAGAAAGATCCTGAGGTTTGGCAGAGGGAGAAGACATCCAATAGGTTTGTTCGTGTCCTTGGCAGTCAGCACAGCACGGAGACACCCGCCATTTTCCCCGGGACCTGGAGGAAGAGTTTTGCCATCTAGAGGCACCACTGATTAATCACACAATTTCAGGAGTTCAAATCCCTGCTCTCCTGCTTCTTAGATGTATGACTTAGGCAAAGTATTTAAATCCCATCGGGTTTAGATAATGTCAGCCTGAAATGAGCATCATCATAACTCTTTCTTTGGGCTATTGTGAGGATGAAACAAGACAATATGCATAAAGCCTGTATAAGAATGCTAGCCTGGCCTAGGAAGCACCCAATTAATGCTAATTATTATTATTATCCTTAATAGCTCCTTGACATAGTATCTATATAGTAAGACAGAAGGGATGGGCAATTTATCTCCTACTATCACAACTTCTACAAATACACAATAAGGAAGTTGGTTAACCGCCTCAGCAATGGTTGCCTCCAGTTCGTACACACATCTGCAGGAAAGAGACAGACGTGTGCATTTCATATCTGCACTCCTACCACAGGCAAATTACTGAACCTCTCCCTACCTCAGTTGCTCAACAGGAAAATTGGATAATAATAGCATGTGTCTCATCGTACTGTTGGAGAAGAGAATTATATGAGTTAATTCCCAGGTAGAATCTTGATCAGTGCCAAGCAGATAACAAGCATGATTATTGTGATTTCATATATGTGTGTGTGTATGTGTGTGGGGGGGGGACGGTGTGTTCCTCACAGTTTTTCTAAAGATGAGTATGATATTGATAACCAATTTTCAATTTAAAAAAATCTGGGACTACATGGGTGTTTAAGCGATTCTTTCACAGTATGGAAGTGCAGCTGTCGCTAGTATGACAAGGTTATGGAGACTCTGTTTCCTCAGCTTTTGAGTTCCTCCTGACCTGGTCTGAATAATAAATCCATGGCCAAATCATGGCTCTGTGGTGAAACTGCTGTTTAACGCTGCAGTGGCGATTAAGGTCACCTAAAAAGATTATTAGGAGCATGATGCTAGGGCTCATTAAAGAGGACTAGCGATGATTTCTAAGCTAGCAGTCATGACTTCCTGGGCTGCCCTGGGCATCACTCTAGAATCACATAACTTTGCATTCAACCTCCATTCCCTCAGTGGCCCTTGAGGGAGAGACTAATATGCCATTTATTTCTAAGTCGATGAAGTAGAAGGGCTATTTCCAACCCAGAAAATGCATTGGCGAGAATGAGGTAATAAGCAGAGAAAACAATTTTTTTTTTTTATTTTTCCTCTGAATTTTAAAGTCAGAGTTTCCTGTGTAAGCAATGCTGTGTTTTGGGGTGTTTGTTTGATTGTTTTTCCTTATTTAAGCCTACTTCATCTGATGCACTCAACTTGGGAAACCCAGAATGATTGTTCATGGCATACTTCTGTAAAAGAAATAAGCACACATATGTCCATAAAATTCTAGGGGTAGGCAATTTATTTCTAACCCTTCCAACTTCTACAAATAAACAATAGACAAGTTGTATAACTGCCTTAGCAGCTGTTGCAGAGGCTTGGGATATGCGTGTCTGTATGAAAGATTTGTTCATTTCACATATAAACTCAGCACAGTCCCCAAGTTAGGGAAGAGGCAGTGCTATGTGACAGCAACTAGCAGAGAGATGTCTGCTCATTGATATGTAAATGACAATAGCAGGCATTCTGCTATGTTTAAGGAACCCCATGACTGGTGTGACCACAAGCAGGTTATTAAAGTGAAACAAGGCTATTTTGTCCATTATGAAAAGCACTGTCCTTTCCCAGCGAGTGGCACATTCAGGGCTATTTACATTTCAACAACCAACAATAAATCAATATAAATATTCCTTTAAATCCATTCTCATTTTTGGAGAACAATAGCTGTTCAAAATCACGGGGTTACACAAGAATCTGAATCAAGCAGAAATAATCAAAAATCCAACATTTGGTCCATTCTATCTATGTTAAATCATTCATAAGTAACGCCCCTCAAAGCCCTGGAGTAGAGTTAAGAGAAATCTCATTTTCCAGTCCTAGAGTTTGGAAACCCTAGAGGTCCAACTACTATAATGATAACTAGTAGCTACATATAGTGAGTATTATCATGTAATATATTTATTATTTACTATGCAATAGAAAATACTGTATGTGAGTACATACTATTGAGATAGGTGCATTACATGCATTGCATCATTTAATCGTCACAGCCATCCTGTGAAGCAGATACCATTATAATCTGAATTTTAAAGATAAAAAATATTGAGGCTTGAAGTTCAGTAATTTGGCTGAAACCAGAAACCCAGTAGATGGAAGATTTGGGTTGTGTTTAGTCCAGGATTCTGACCTGCACTGGAGTGGGGCTCTTAACTGTCACTCACACATCCTCCCCAGAGAGTCAGTGATAGAAATTGAATTTCAGCTGGTGAAATATCCTGGGCAGTTGGGATATTTTGCCTGAGTTAGACTAAAGATTAAAAAAAAAAAAAATAGTTCAATCTATGGGAACACTGCTAACATTCGCTTAAAAATCATTGTGAAAGATTAATGTATCCATAATAAATTCTATCATTTATTCACTTTTGCATCCAATAAATATTTATTGAGCAATTCGTAAGTGTGAGGTACATGCCAGAAACCTGGGGCTAGAACAGTGAACCGGATAGGCATGGCCCCAACTTCACTTAATTTATAGGCCACTAGGGGAGAGGAACATTAAAAATAATCATTCATTACTGTTGTGACAAGTATGGAGGGAGGTGGGAAAAGTCTCAATGCAAGGAAAACAGAGGAAAGAAAGACCCGACCTAGTCTGGGAAAGTCAGAGAAAGCCTCTCTAAGGAATTAATATTTTAGAGGCCTGGGGCTGACTAAGAGTTAGCCAGATACAAGAAAGGAGGGATGTATTAGGATGCCTTAATTTGTCTGCAGGTCCTAGAAAATTCAAAGCAAATTTGCTTAAAACACTAAAAGTTATTTAGGTAACTGACAGTGTCAGGCACAGTTTGATCAAGGCTCTGGCTTTATTTCTCAGACACTAATTGCCCTTCCAAATTATATGTTGGTTTCAGTCCCTTGGTTTCTATCATGATAATGTCTATCAATGACAACCAGAACTTGCATGTTTACATTCAGTGAGAGAAAAAGAGAATCTCCTTCTTATGCTGATTAAGCCACCCCAAACCAATCATTCTAATCAATGGATGCCTGAACCAATCACTGTGGTAAGGAGAATGAAATCTGTGTACCCTTGAGCCCTAGGGTGGGTCCATTCCATCTAAACATATGGCCGCTAAGCATAGATGGGATGGATATTGAAGAGGCAGCCACAGTTTCCATGTCAAAGAGAAAAACATGTACAAAGAATCTTAGGTGCTAAGATTAGAAGTTTCAGGACCTGATATAAACGCAGTGTGGAAGAAAATAAAGATGAGAATGGCATGAGACAAATTTGTACAGTTGGACAGGAGCCGGATCATGCAAGATGTTGAAGATCGTGTTAAAAATTCTGGACATTAACTTCAGGTTAGTGGGGAGCTGCTGTTGTTATATGTCATGATCAAATTTATATATTAAAATCATTCATGTATAGAAAAAAATGAAAAGTATCTATGTATATATCTGATAAATATGTGTATACATAAACTATTTCTGAAAAATATACAATCAACTGGTAAATGTGGTTGCTTATAGGAAGAGATCCTCGGGGAATACAGAGTTGACTTAGTAGAGAGACTGATTTTTCATTGCATTCACTTTTGAACTTTTCTTTTTTAAAAAGGAAAACTATATTCATACATTGTTCTTAAATTTAAAACATAGTAAAATAATTGTTTTAGGTGATTATTCTGTCCACTATATGGAGAGAAGAATTAGAGCCTGGAACAAGTGCAGAAAGACCAATTAGGAGGCTACTTCAGAGGGCCAGGCAGGAGATGGTGGTGGCTTGGCTTTGGTTGGTACAAAACAGGATTGAGCCTGGGTCACCTGAGGCTGAAGCTCCCTTCCTTCACCACCACAATAACTAATAAGCCTTGTACTCTTCTGGAAGGTACACAGAGGTGGCATGGGAAATGACTACAGAGCCAAAGTTATTTCTGAGCATGAGACGCAATGTGGCGAGGAAGTCTAAAAAGGAGCCAGGGCTAAGGAATGGTTATAACAGGATGATGGGGGCCTGGGGAAAAGGAGCAAATTTTCATTTGTGCAGAGGTGCAAATGCATTTGATTTACCTGAGCTACTGATATCCCCAGCTGTCAAATTATGCAAATGTAACACCTCTGAAAATGAGACTTTGCATCTGAGTTGAACTCTTGAGATCCAACATGGTCGACTGGAATGGGAGCGTTGAAATCCCTCTAGCAGAAAATGGGAAGTTGCAGCCTCCTTTCATCCTGCAGGCTGACTTCATGAGCTTTGCTCCATCTGTGCGAGGCAAAGGTGAACTGAATAGTATGCAATGTGTCCACATCGCTGGCACTAGTATAATAAATAAAGAAAGGATTGCCAAAGGAATGAAGGATTGCCAGTGGCAATTTTAGTAATAACCATATACAATTAGCAAAATATAAGATGGAAGGTTCTGGAAAATTCTAGTAATTATATTAGTTGGTCATTACATGAGTATAGCTAGTATAGCTCCATCAAGTGAAGTATACCTTTGTAGAATCATTGAGTGACCATTTAGGAAGTTCCCAACTGTTTAAAATATGAGAAATGACTACTTTGATGGGGCATCAGAAGAGTACTAATATATCCAGATCTCACATTTTATACTATATTTGAAATCCTGGGTATTTTTCTATTTTATTTGGTGCCATCCAAGGGCTGTAAGAATAGAAACATTAGATGAGGAGGTGGGTCTCACCTCAAAGAAAGAATAGAATGACTATCAGGTAGAATTCAAAGGCAGAGAACAGAAGGTATGAAATCAAGATTTAGGAGAATAAGTGAGGAATAGGTGAAGACAAGTCAGATAATAACTCCACCTAAATGCTGCTCTACCACTGGTAAGACTTTCCTGACTAACTGTGCCCCAGAAAAATTAAACCATTCTGTAACCCATTCTTCCTGGGCCTGGCTACTAATGGCCTCATGAGAAACAGACTGCATTACAGAACTGTTTCAGTTTCAATCACATGCTTGTCTTTCCTTCCTTTGGGTTCTCTCTGTGATTCCTTCAACAGGGAACTTTATTTGGGATGCCCTGTTTCCATCTCACTAAGGTAATGCTGTCCATCTACAAGTCACCTCCTCCATAAAACCTTATTCTTATCCCTCAGACTGGATGAAATCACTCCTCTTGAACCTCTTGTCATTTCATGATACTTCCCTTGTCTCATTTATAGGTACAGTGCAGCTTGGTGGTAACAAACAAGCCATCTGGAAATTGGGTTTAAACTTTTAATCAACCATTTATTACTGCCTTTACTGGCTGTGTGGCCTTGAGCAACTGACTTACCCTTTCTATGACTCTGTTTCTTCATCTGTAAAATGGAATGGTCATATTATGCACCTCAATATTGTTGTAAAGAATAAGTGGGTTGATATGTGTGTGTGTTTGTGTGTGTTAGTTTGGAGCATGTTGTCAACTCTCTATAGGAATTAGTTATTATTACTATTACAACTCTACATAATAGTAATTGGTATATTTGTTGTATCTCTTATTTAGATTATATGAATCTCTAATTCAGTTAGAGAATTTTGAATTTTCTAATTCAGTTTCTTTTTGTACATAGCATAATTCATCATTTATTTCTGTGTAGCAAATTACCCCAAAATTTATCAGTTTAAAATGACAAACATTTATTAGCTCAGTTTCTGTGGGTCAGAAACCTGGGCATGGCTTAGAGTCTCTGGCGAGGCTACAGTTGAGGTGTCCAGCAAGGCTGCGGTCATCTCAAGGATCAACTGAGGAAGGTCTCACTTCCAAGCTCCCTCATGTGACTCTTGGCTGTCCTCAGGTCCTTCCTGGATGTTGTCTGGGGACATCAGTTCTCTGTTGCAAGCGTCTCTCCATAGGACAGCTGCCACATGGCAGCTGGCTTTCCTCAGGGCAAAGGTTGAGAGAGAGAGAGAGAGAGAGAGAGAAAGAGAGAACAAACCAGAAGTCACAGTCTTTTTGTAACGTAATCTCAGAAATGACAACCCATCACTTCTGTTGTACTCTGTTAGAAGTAAGTCAGTATATCCAGCCTACCTTCAAGAGGAAGGGATTACACAAGAGCACGAACACCAGGAGGTGGTGGTCATTGGGGCCCATCTTAAAGGCTGTCTTCCATACACAGTAAGAAATCAGTGAACAGGTATTTACTAAATGTGTTATCCTTACTGGGTAATCCTTGTAATTCTGAAAGACCATCAGTCTAACAGACTGAACTTGGGACCTGTGCAGACACTTGTTTGTTTATTCATTTAATAAACATTGGCTATTCCCCAGTTTTATGCCAAACACTGTGTGGAAATTTAAGGATTCTAAGATATTTTAAAATGAACTTAAAAAAAATGAATTTTAGAGCTGGATAGGATCTGGCCCAATGGTTTCATGTAACAAATAAGTAAATTGAGTCTCGGAGCAGACAAAGTTGTCCCAAGTCACACAGTAGTGCAGTAGTCCTGGTACCAGGACTCGTATCTCCTGAGTTGGGGTTCTCTCGTCCTCTGGTGGAAATGTGGGTGTTCTCTGCCACATTGTGCCATGCAACCAGTCCCCTCACTTCTATTCCTATTCATTAAACTAAAAAGAAGGACTAACTGAACCAATGGTACCTGTATTCTTTTTAGATGCTTGTGGTTTTATTACATTAAGCCATTCATATTAGAAAATTCTCTAAATGAAGACAAATTATAATCCCTGAAGTTCCTCTATTACTAACATAGATTTTCATGACTTTATTTTGTCTAACTCCTTAGTGCCTTGTACCGATATTTCATTTAAGCTTTAAGACATCACCTGACAGAGATACCATGTTAGACATTACCTGAGTCAAACAACCTCAGGGAGGGGATCAAGTGCCACTCTGCTGGAGATGCAAGCACTATTTGCCCCTGAACTATCCGAGCTTCCATTCTCTTCTTTTGCTGGCCAATTAAGGTTGATGTTTATTAGTTGTTTTGCTTTGCTTCTCTTCCACCAGAAATCAATGTGTACATATATCAAATTCAATAATGCCACTTTCTCATCCTGGAAAAATAAAATAACCCCTGCCCTATTCATGCCTGGGACTAGAATACACTTCAAGAAGCAAATACAAGAATTTTACATGATATAAATAGACTCCATCAATTCAAGAAGTGGGTGTTAAAACTGAAACATTGACAGGTAATTATCAAAAGTACCTTAGAAAAGCAAGTTTCTGTGGACAATAGCTGCAATTTATTATTATTATTGTTGCTAGCCTCCCTGATGTTCTCCATTTATGATTCAAGTAATCTTGTCTCTTTTGATGAATCTACCTTTTGTTTTTTATTAAGGTGTCAATGCATTAGACAAAAGGCCTGCTGAGTACAACAAAACCCACAGTCACTTGACAGAGGAAAAACAGAACTTCATTCCTATAAGGCAAAATACCACTGTCCTTGTGCGATGAAAATATATATGTAAGAAAACACGTGCATACACACACACACACACACACACACACACGTGCACACAGACACACACACACAAATTGTTCTGGACAATTCTGGAAATTATGCTAAAAATTGTTTAGCCAGGTTAAAGTAGAACATGTCAGGGTTGACAGTTCTAGACCACGTATGACTGAATCCAGCAACCTTATGCTCCTACTGACGTATTTATGTCTCCTTGGTACTAACCCTGCTGAATCCTTAGACTGATCTGAAAGAAGTGAAAATCTCTCTCCTTCAGAAAATTGCAAGCCCCTTCTCCCAATTAGAAATTCTAAGATGCACTTGGTGTGCCTGAAAGCATTATTTATTCCTGGACTATCTGCTTTGATGCTTGAGCAGATACTTTAAAAACATTCCCAGCTCCTACAGGGTGGAGAGAGGTGAGGTTCATTAGTCAGAGTCAACAGGGGTATGAGACAGGCAGACCATATAAGCAAACCAGACCCAGCAATGAGTGTTTAGGTAAGCATTTCAATAGGTTCTTAAGAAACAACCCACTCCTTCTGAGATGTGTGGGTTTTTATCAGCCTAACATCCCAGGCTAGTGACACAATCTTGGAGAGTTGTCAAGACTAATAACTTTTCACCATAATATCTGCAATGGGGAAAGGGGAATGGAATTTTCCCAGTGTTTAAGGCTAAATGTCTATAAAACAAAACAAAACAAAATAAAACACAATGAAAAACCTAATAACAATTCAAAAAACCATTCAAAATTAGAAGAAAAGATCAATATAAATTAAACTCCCTCTATCCCCAATGTAGGAAAAATGTGAATTCTATGTGTCCCAGAAAAGAAAGGAATTTTTAGAAGAAAAGCTCAAATTTAAAAATATATCCAGAACATTAATTTTCATGTAATTAGGGAAAGCTATTTATTTGTCAGAAATCAAAAGTATGTGCATTTTGGGTCTAAGGTTTGGCTACCAAATCATAAATAGCCATGAACTATGAAATATGTTGTTCATATTATGCAGCATTTTGAAACCTCGCCAGTCCTAAGAGAAAATGTAAAAGTGAAAAACAAATTTATGAAAAAAGCTATTTTTTCCCTTTTTAACCTCAAGTCCCAGTGCATATGTACTTACTCAAGAAAAGAAAATATTCTGGCCCCAGTGGTGTGCTCCTGTAGTCTTTGCTATTCGGGAGACTAAGGTGGGAAAATTGCTTGAGCCCAGGAGTTCAAGGCTGCAGGTACTATGATCATGCCTGTGAATAGAAGCCACTGTACTCCAGCCTGAGGAACATAGCAAGACCCCATAGCTCAAAAAAAACCAAAAACAAAAACACTTAAAACAAAAAGCAAACCTAGAAGTTGCATCCATTATAATACTCCAGCTTTATTTCTGTGAAGGCCATTTACTTATTCACTCATTCATTCACTCAACAAGCACTCATAAAGTTCTTTTAGCTAAACACTGTAACAGGCAGTAAAAGATGAGTAGGTTACACACAGCCCCTACCTGAAGGAGCTCAGGTCTCAGTGAGAGCGACACATGCATAAACAAATAATCATGTTCTAAGTGCTCCCTAAGGACCACAGACAGAGCATTATTGGAGCCCATAATGCTGACTGCCTAACACTGAGGACTTGAAACAGTCTTTACAGAGGGAGTGACATTAAGCTGAGTCTCAAAATACAAGTAAGAGTTGGCTAGGTGGGCAAGTTGGGAGGAAGCATCATATATATTTCAGAGAGGATGAGGCATTTGCTTTGACTGGAGCAGAACCTGCATGGGATGGAAGAAGAAGGTGGTAGAAGATGAGGAAAATTAGAGACCAACCTTTAATTGACACATTCTTCATGCTAAGGTATTTGAATTTTACCCTACATGCAATAGAAAGCCATGAAGGATTCTCAAGGAGGAAAGATTTCATTCTCATTCAAATAATTCAGGTGGCTACACAGAGCATAGATGAGAAGGTCTAAGTCACAATCAGTATTTCACATGGCTCCCCAAGATGCCCTCAACCTAGGCCAACCATGGCTAATGCACAAGCTGGATCCTATATGTTATGATAGCTTCCCTTTTTTGTAGTCTCTGTTCCATTTGTCTTTGTTTATCTCCTGCTAATAGTTCATTCATTTAATCAATCATTCCATCATTCAACAAATGTTTATTGAGCCATTGCTAAGTGTAGGTAGGGGGCTGGCAGTCCAGTGGCACACAAGGAGGACAGTGTCTAGACCCTGGCAAAGCTGACAGTCTGGAAGGACATACAGATTTGTTGAAATCCAATAGCAATGATGAGTCATGAGCAAGATATAAGAAGCTATGGAAGGGAGTGGTTACTGGGGCTTCCCTGAGGAAGGGATCGTTCGGTTGTGACCTAAAGGATGACTAAGATTTAGCCAAAGTGCATGTGTTAGAAGGAGAAGGAGGAAGAAGGGTTTTTCCCCACTTGCCCACTTGCTGGGGAATAACCAAAGGCAGGAGAAAAGAGACCTTGGAGGAAGTGAAAGTGCACATGTTTAAGGGAATCAAAGAAGCTAGAAAGGTTGGCTGCAGTTAGAGCCTGCAAGGCTGTGCCAGCCATGTGCATTAATCAAGTAGGCTAGGCTCTGCTGCAGAAACGAAACCCCAACTCTTGGTGGCTCAACCAACAAAGACGTGTTTCTCTATCAAATAAATTCTAATGCAGGTCAAGTGACATTCCAGGGTGAATCTGCTGGATGGGGTAACTGAGACACCCAGGATTCCACTATCTTTTGATGTTGACATCTCAACATGTGGCTTTCCAGGTCCCCACAGCAGGTGGAGAGAGGGTGTGGAAGTGGCACACCACCTCTTACGTGCTTTGGTCCAAAAGGGACACATTCATCTCCTGCTGGCCAGAACTAGTCACAAAGAACCAACTAACTATGCAAAAGGCTAGAAAACATAGGGAGCACGTGGACCATTTGGGGATTGCCAATGTCTCTGCCAAGACATGCAAGGCGTAGCAGGCTTTATCCTACGGGCAATGGAGAACAATCAGCAGGAGACCTGTCAGGATCAAGTTTATGTTGTAAATTACCCCAGCTATATTATGGAGAATGAACTGGCTGGACCAAAAAAAAGATCATTTAAGAGGTTTTCAAAAGTTCAAGAAAGAGAAGATGGTGGCTTGGAACATGGAGATGTCAGAGTGCCAGCTTAACTGACACCTAAATCCCGATATTTTTATAAAAATCCTAACAAGGAATTGGTTTAAACTGGTACTTGTAACAAAGGAAGAAGTTTTTTTAGGAATAATAATCACAGAATATAAAAACTATTATCTGACTTTACAAAGTAGTCTATCAGGTTATAAATATTAATAGCTGCATTCTTGTCCCATAGGTTGAGGGGGAGGCTTGCAGGATGGCAAAGGCTTTTTGGGGCTGGGTCTATGGAGTGGTGAAATAGGATAAGAAACACCTGGTGGTATCTGATGAAGTGCCCTGAATCAGAGGCCAATGCTGAGATCAAAGAAGTATGCAGACCTGAGATCCAGATGGGAAGCTGGGCAATAAATCATAAAAAGGAGAAATAACTTTCGAGAACTAGGCAGGTGGTTCAGAAGCCAGAGTATGAAATCAGGGAGCAGAAGGTTGAGTAAATGATCACCAGAAACAGTGGATGAGGTCATGAAGTGGATATTCCAAATGGTTCTTCCATGTGCTCAGTAGCCTGGAGACTTGAAGGTGCAATTGCAATTAGCGAGTTAGAGATAGGGTCGTCAATAAAGACGTTTTTCCAAGTTATTTCTCCATCAATCATTCCCTTGCCATGTCTAAAGTAGAACTCTTGATTTATTCATACCCCCCGTTCTTCCTCATCAATGAAATAATCTCCCATCCACTCGAGTCCTCCAGCAATGAGCCCTTCTTGATTCCTCTCTTCCCTCAGATGCCACATCTCTACACCTAGCCCAACATGGTGTCCTCTGACTCCACTCCGAAATATGGCCTGACCTCCCATCATCTCCACCCTAGTCCAAGCCACACCCCCACTTGTTTTGACTACAGCAATAACTTCTTAACTGGCCCCCATATGCTGCTCCTGCCTCCTGCAGTATAGTCTCACAGCAGCCAGAATGATCCTTTCGAAACATAAATATAATCATATAACTCCCTTTTGATGGCTTCTAATCCCGTTTACAATAAAACCATGGTCTACAAAGTCCTTGAAGATTGGGCTTCTCCCTTCCCTTCTGACCTCATCTCCAACTCTTCCCCTAATCCATTACCCTCACCTTCCTTTCGTTTCCCAGATGTGCCAAGCTCATCCTGGAGCCATTGCACTATCCCTTCTCTCTACTTGGAATCTCTTCCTACTGATCTTTATGTGACCATCTCCTTCTTGTCAGCTAGTCCTCGGTTTAAATACCAGTTCCTCCAACAGGCCATCCCTGAATACCCATTCTGAAGGAGCCACCACTTACAAAACAACGAATCTGTGTTGAGGCTCTGCATACAATTTGTATCCTCTGATGACTTTTCCCTAAGTTACTTTCCCAGTGTTGTTATGGTGTTGTCACTGTTGTTGTTAGTCTGTTTTCTCCTGCTAGAATAGACCCTCCAGTGAAAGCAGCACCCTAACCTGCCTTTGCTATTGCAGTATCCACAGTGCCTACAGGGATTCTTAGCACACAGTGGGCATGTTGCTCTGGTTTGTTGAGTAAATAAATGAATAAATAAATAAACAAATGAGTGAATTCCCCCACTCCTCCTTCCTTCCTGCATCTGTAACCTCTCCCTCTTCACTGTCTTCTTTCCCTCTGCCAAAAACCTTGTTCCAATCTCTTAACATCATTTAAAGAGAAAAATCCTCCTTCAGTCCCCTCAAGTTTCTCTCTATAGTTTCTCCTTCCTTGTTTATACAACCATGTTTAAAGCACGCCGTATGGTTATAGTACTTCCTTCTCTAGCTTTTGACCCTCTGTCCTCCAGAAACTGTTGCAGCTAATAAAACAAAAGGCCTCTTAATTCCTGAATCAAATGTCTGCATTTAGTTCTCGCCTTCCTGCAAGAATCAGACAGTGTTTCCCTGTCCTCCAATCTTGACCCCAAATATCTCTTCTTCCGTGTATCTCACTGACTCTTCCCTCTCTGTTCTCTTCTTGAAACAATTCCCTTGACTTCTTCACACCATTTTCACGATTTTCCTTACTCTTCCTTTCTCTGACCCGCTGAAAGTTGGTGTGCCCAGGGCACTTTGAATACTGGCCCTCTGCCCTTCCTACTCTACCCTCTCCTCCCACCTGATTTCATCCTCTCTTAGGACTTCAAATGTCCTTTGAAATTAGATTTTTTAAAAACCTATCCCTCCAGTCTAGAACTCTTGCCCCAATCTGTATGCTCTTGGATATCCCACAATCACCTCAAGCACAGCGTGTCCAAACGCATAAGGTGCATATTAGCACCCCAGACTCAGAGGTGAGACATTTTATCTAAGAGCATTTAACCAGGGAGTGGTAGAGCAGAAATTTAAATATGATTCTCTCGGGAATCAAAGCCCATTTTGTTCCACCATGTCACCTTGTCATCGTGTTACAGCAGCAGAGAGCCGACAACAGTCAAAATGTGTTTCCAGAGAGTTGTTCCATAGATGATGAAACAGCAAAAACATGAAATTGTATCTTGCTATAAGAAAGGATGCTTTTGATGCATGTTGAATGGGGAAATGCTCATGATATATCTGTTAAATTTTTAGAAGGTGAGATAGAAAACTATGTATAGTAAGATCCTAATCTGGTTCTTTGAGTTATGATTAGAATAAAGTCTGAAAAGAAAACAAAAAATACCAAATGTTATCATTACATGGTGGCATGATTATAGTTTAAATAATTGTCATTTTTCCCCCCACCAGCATCCATCCCCACTGTCCATTAGAGCCCCTAGTTGCCTTTTGGAGAACCCCCTCTTCCTCAGGCATGCATCTTGGTGGGATAATAATTGAGGATCTTTCCTTTCCATTAGGGAAGCTGAAGAGGGTCTCTGATAGTTCCTAGGCCAGATCCCTTTGCTCACTAGCCCAGTATAAGCCAAGGAGCTTTCGGCATCCTAACATGAGCTAATAAGATTCTTGAGCTGAGCTACGCTGGAATAGAAAAGTGCTAGGTTTCATCCAATCCTATGGTGGCACCTGAACTAGGCAGTCAAGTTCCTACTACATTAATGCCCAGAGGTGGCCTTCTTCACATCCTATTTCTAAACTAATTCTCTGCCCATCCTGGATAGGAGACATTCTTGTATCCTTTCAATCAATTTTCTTTGTGGGTTAAAGTTACTTTTATTGATTTCTGTTACTTATAGCCAAAAAGCCCTAACTGACACATCTGACACAGGTCTATATTTTCTATTTTTCTATGACAATAAAGTAACATGTTTTGCTTTTATATTCAAAAAAAATTAGAGAAATGAAATCTTTTAGAGATCTAGTCCTGAAGCAGTAAAAGGTACTGGTCAGAGATACATGTGAGTATTAGAAACCTGGGTTCAATGTGTGGCTTGATCTTTACTGGTCCGTGTCTGCTCCTGGTAAATCACCCCACCTCCATGCTTGCCATTCCATACTGACAGCACGTCTACAGCATTACCTTCACATACAAACAGAAAATGTTTTCATTTATGTTTCTAATACGTTTGTGGCTAACAAGAGCCTGCCAAAGCAGGACTTGGCTTATATTGGAAAGAAAATACATTCATTTAGGCATTTGATACCTTTATTAAATGCTTTCTCCATGCCATTCTGTGAGTATATAAAAACAAATAGTACCCAGTTTCTGCTCCTTAGGTGCTTCTTACTGTATAGCGAAGCAAATATAAATGCAATAAAACATGCTAAGTTCTGTTACAGAGATATGAACAAGGTGCCAAGGAACCTAGAGGTGGAAAGAAATGAATTATCAATCTGAAGATTATAAATGCTAGAAAGAAAGTAACAAAGACCCTATACTTACTGTTTTAAATAAAAAATATGTTATAGCCAAGTGTGAACACAGACTTATTTGCAAAAAGAAAGCTCATTTCAATGAAAAGGTATACAAGGCATGTTATTATCCTTTTAGTGGAAAGCCATATTAAAGGCTAGGACTTCCATTTCTTTTATTTTTTTAGACCTAGTCCTGAATCCAGAGATTTCCATTTCTCTTTATAATGCATTTAATAAGTTACAGATAAAAATATAATTTTCATGTTAAATTCCTTTAAAACAGACGGTAATGGCCTTACCATCAACTTATTTTAATAACATAAAAGAAATTCACCTCTGGCACCTCCTTCTAATCAACCTCTTTAATGTTTACTTGAACTTTTTCAAAATTCAATCTCCATTTTCTTTACCAAAGTTACTAAAATATTACTTAGAATTTCCCACTGAAGGATCCACTCTGATCTGTCTCTTTACCATACTTTGGGAAAGATGAGTAGACTTCTTCCAAAGGTATCTTCCATCGATTCATGCCTATTTAGGTTTCTTTCTCATGAGATATGATTTGATGCCTGCCCACACCAGTATGTTGGCAGACGCAGTGACTCACTGGGTTAGCACTTCCAGGTAACATGTTTGCATTGGGACTGAAACCTTCTAGAGAAAATAGTAGCTTTAGCTGAAAAAAGAATAATGACGCTATTGGTGGAAATTTTGGATATTTATAGACCAAAAAAACAAAACAAAATGAAAGCCTTATACTCAGAGAGTCCATCTCAGTAGTTTTAAAGTAAGCCTTTAGAAAAATAAATGCATCTATATAAAAAATATTTTTTAAAAACATCCTTCTTCCTTAGAAGATACTAATATTGGGGAAGAAGTCTGGATACTTAAGGAATGATTAAACAGATAGATATTACATCTTACTCTTATATAGCCAAATAAACTTCAAGCAAAAGTCAATCCTAAGAACATACACACACCTAGGTGTTTGGGGAGAGGCCATGTGAGCAGTTGTTTTGTCTGGCAACCTCTATCTTCTCTGTCTCTGCCGTTCCAGGGTCACCTCCAATCCCTACAGGAGCAATTAAAAGTAATAACACATGAACTTTGGAATTAAACAATCCTGAGTTGATAAGTGGACTTTGCCACTCATTAACAGTGTGATCTTGGGCAAATTACCAAATATCTCTGAGTATCAGTCCTTCCTTCTGAAAAAGGGAAAAATAATTTCTTCCTTGCAGGGCTCCATGAGATTTAAGTGATGTCACACAACCATCTCGTCTGACACAGAGAAGATGTCCAATGCTCAGTAGCTGTGAGTACACTTGGAGCCATGCCTTTGCCAACAGTGGTAACACACCCAGCCTCCTCCTACCCCCAAAATAACATATGGTTTAAAAAGATTTCTTTTTTGTCCTATCCAAACCCCACAACAAGCAAACAATAAAACATGTCTACACCCTCTTTGATAGTGCCCTGTACACCAATCCATACAAACCGGAAAATGCCAGATGATGGCTTTGTGTTACAAAGTGCCTCTGCTTAAATGAAGATGCTTGGAAGAGTTGACACTTGAATGGAAAGGAGTATTGGTTGTATCCTGGTGTTTTTTCACACCAAGTGTTCCAGAATAACTGGCGCTGCGACATGTCTACAGAATTACTCACACCAGGTGTCAGTGGACCCACAGGCTTCAAAGGAAGGGCAAAAGGAACTGGCCTCAGGTCTTAGAACATGCACACTGGCCACTCTCTGTGGATCGGGGGGAGTAGAGGTATATGTGTGTGTGAGAGTCTAAGATTATCATTTCTTGTTTCCATATTCATCTTGTGTTCAGGTGGGAACTCCACATTTTCAGAATTGGAATATGGAACGGCCGAGAAGGGTAGCATTTCTCAAGATGTGGACTCTGTACCATCTATTGAATCCTTAAAGATAGGGCCCATAACCTGCAATTTTTAGTGAGCATCCCAGGGCATTTTTAAGCACTCTCAAAACTGAAAGCCACTGAGCTGGCCCAAATGTCCCCATTTTAAAGTGATGATACTAAAGTCTGAGGAAAATGAGTGATTCGCCTAAAGCAAAGTATTCAACCTCAGTGCTATTGAGAGTTTGGACTGAGCAATCCTTTGTGGTAGGGGCCGTCCTGTGTACTGTTAAAATGTTTAGCAGCATCCCTGGCCTCTACTAAGTAGATGCCACTAGCAGTCCTCCAAGAGTGACAATCAAAAATGCCTCCAGGCATGGCCAAATAGCTGCAGGAAAGTGAAGTTGCACCTGGTTGAGAATCACTGTCTGAAATCACGGAGACTGTCAGAAGTGGAGACTGGCCAGCATGCAAGGGTAGTGATGTCCAGCCCAGCTATCTCGCTGCATCTGCTCCTCTTCTCTTGCTATGGAAAGTAAAACAAGAGTGGGGAGCACACAGTCCATAAAGGCCATGGAGTCAGAGAGCAGAGGCCAGAGCAGGTGACAGTGCTGCTATTTCCCAGGGACCTGGAACATTCTTCCTGGCTTTTTCCACGACCTACTGTGCATTGAGCCATTCCTACTTCCATTTCTCCTGTTTAAATCTTGCTCTTCCAGGAGAACTGGCAGGATTTGGATTGCAACATCCTGGAAACCCACATAGAGAGGAGCCATACAAAAAGCTTTTTAAATTGAGATTGATTTAAGGGCGCCCATGTGTGTCATAGTCTAAATGCAGTCCCTTGCCAGGAAGAGAAGGGTGGTGGGGAGAAATGCAAAGGGACTCAGGAAATGTGGTTCCTGGTCCCAGCTCTTTCCAAACTACCTTTGTGGCCTTTAGCAAATCACTTCAGCTTTCTGGTCTGGGAGAGGTTTCCCATGAAATGGAGGGATTACAATAGGCCACTACATCTGTGCTCACGCTGTGTCCCCCACCCAAGGGGCACTTAAGCTGTTATCAAAAATCCAAACCTTACCATTCTTCCAAAATCCAATGCCAGTCATGATGCTTCAATTTTCTTTGGTGATAATGACAGCAATGTTATGGTTTTGTAGGAGAAAATCTTTGTTCATAAGAGATACACTCTGAAGTATTTAGAAATGGGATGTCATAACATCTGCAACTTACTCTCAAATGATCCTGAAGATTAGAAAATGTGTATATTATATGTACATACAAATATATATGTATGCATGTATTTTTATAGAGGAAATGTGAGAAAATATGCCAAGAGATGACTAAACATTAAATCTCATTGACGGGTATATAGGTGTTCATTTTATGATTCCTTTCTTTTTTTTATATGTTTTAAATTTTTTAAAGTCAAATGTTGGAGACGAAAACAGCTCCAGTTCTGTCTCCTTCACAAAAACCTTTCCTGAATTAGCTGAAACAATTCCTCCAAATTCCCACAGCACTTATGTACTCTGTGTTTATCACTTTCTACTTTGTATTATAGTTATTTAAGTACTCGCATAGTGAGGTCATAAAATTGCTAAGGCACTACTCAGCTATGCAGAGAACATTTGTTCTAAAACTGCTCTTTATTTAGTCTATAACTTCTCCGTTCCTCCTCACAAAACCTGCCGGAAGCAGGAAAAAAATTTGAAATAAATTTTAGTCTGATCTCGTAATCGCAGGTTGATCATGTAATTTAAACAGTCACTTTAGGTAACTCAGTCATATTTGGATGAAGGCTAGGCCCTAGATACTTCTATGCCTGTGTTTATCCTGAGAATGGCATCTGGGTGCAGGAGAGAAACTGACTGGGCAGGGGGTGTCATAGGAAAGAGTCCCTAAGATCAATTTGCAGAACTGGCTCTTAATATTATGGCCATTATACAGATCTTAAGTCTGTATCTGGCAATAAGGTCCTTGAGGGACATCTCAGGATTATGAGAAGCAGCTGGAGGAAGTTACATTTCTGTCTCCCCAGGGGGCCTGAACAGTGCTAAATACCTGCACGTTCTCCATGGTTATTGACATCCACTGTCTCTCTAGTTTGTTGCTCCTACATCCACTATGTGGCTTCTGCTATCCTTACGCACTGAAATGTCCCAAAGTGTGAATAATAATTTGATATTAGTAATAATTAATTTGCTAAGTGCCTACTACGTGTCAGGCACTGTGCCAAGCTCTTTACATGTAATATTTCATTTAATCCCCAAAGCAACCAGAGGAGTTAGTACTGTAATTATCTCATAAGAAGGACAGCCACTGGCCTTTTCGTCACCTGATCACTAAATTAGCCTTTCTTTGCACTCTCAGTAGTTACTGCTGACAGCTGTGCTGTGTTTGAAACTCTCTATTTCTGTGATCTCCCAGTTTACTTATCTAACCACATCTTTCCTCCATCCATATTATTTGGCTTTCTGTCTCCTATAAATGCTATGTGTTGTGACCACTCTACCTTTTTAAGTCACATTTTGTATTCCCTCTGGTCTTCTTTATGCCCCTTCAAAATCCATCCTTTAAGGACAAACTTTCATTCATTCAATCATCACACTTTCACTAAACACCAACTCTGTGCTTGCTACCCATTGTCCTAGGTCCTAGAAAGACGATGCTAAGAAAAAGAAACACAGGTCCAGTCCCTACCCCAGTGGACAGTCTAGCGACTAGGCTTCAGTCTTGTCCCAGCTGCTCTAGCAAGAAATAATCTCCCCGTTGTACCTCCTTTGAAATATGCATGATATTTGTTTCACCCATTGAACACTTAACAAGTACAGCTCTGTAGAGTTCATCATCCTATCCATGGATTAATTTATTGTGGATGACAATGATAATAATATCAGTAACTTCCATTAATTGAATGTCTCTCCTATGCCAGGCACTCTACATACATCGTCTTTAGTTCTCACAATGACGTTGCCTGAAAGAGGTGATTTTTCTCTTTTTACTAATGAAGTACTTGAGGCTCAGAGATGATAAGTAACCTGCCCAAGGCCACATAATTAGCAAATGACATTATCAGAGCGAGAACCCAAGTCCCCTGGCTCCAGAGGCTCTCCCCACAACACAGCAAGCTGCCAGACTCCTTTGTTGCATCATGCAGTGAGGTAGTGAATAGTCAGTAAACAGTGAGGCCGGGAAAACATCAGGCAAAGAACATGGTTTGGGAATTAAACAGACCTGCATTCAATTGTCAGCTGTGCCACTTTTTGGGTATGTGACCTTGGGCAAATCCCTAACACTTATTTGTACCTTATTATCCTCATTTTAAAATCACCACTGGAAAAATAAATAAATAGAGTCATTTATCTCACACGGTTGCTGTGAAGATTAAATGAAATGGTAAACATCCGGAAAAGCACCAGGTATATCACAGGCATCATCCGGCCAGTGCTCCTTCTCTCCTCCCTTTGTTGATGCAGATCATTTAAAAATGTGTCATCTACCTTTCTGTTGCTCATATAAATTCCTAAGTTTGATTCTAAGAAACACCTGCAGAAAGGTCTTTCAAGCACCTGCAAGTATATTAAAGAGGCAGATACAGGCACAGGCACAGAGAGATAAAGGCAGTGTGGTTAAGAGGAGATGGAAAACCAATCTAGAAGCCAGGAAATGGGAGGCCATGTGGTTCCTTTTGTTAAGGAAGCTTTTTCCAGGGCAGAGTCCTTGAAGCTTTTGTGTAACAAAAGCATTTGAAATGCTTTCCTCTGGTGTACTCACATAGTATTGCTTCAGTGGTAAAGAAAGTATAATCTTGTCAAAATGCTATTGATTTTTTTCAGAAGGAATCTAGAGACCTCATTCATTGACAAAGCCCTGCAAACAAGCCCAAAAGCCCACCTTTTTTTTCCCTATAAGCTGGTCACCCACTCCAGGACAAAACATGGCTAATAAACTAAAGGTTCACGTTTATTCAATCTTTGCTAAGCATTTTGATCAACCTTATACGTCTACCACTTCATTAATCCTTTAAAAAAAGCTCTTTGAAGTAGAGATTATTATGTTAAGATTTGGTAAATTACAACTGAGGTATCTGAAGCTCAGAGAGGTAAAATATCTTGCATACGATCACACAGCTAGAAATTGTTGGTGAGATTTGAGCTGATTCATTCAGCTATTCAACAAATATTTATTGAGCGACTACTATGTGCCAGGTCTGTCTGATTCTAAATCTAATGCCCTTTCCATGGTATTATTCTTCCTAGTAAAATAAATAACAGCATTCCCTGTCATGTATAATGTTCTTCAGAATGTGAAAGCAGTTTGGCCAGAACATGATATGCTTATGGTTCAGAAAAGATAACTGCTTCCAACTGGAAAGCGCTGTAAAAAAGAAAAAAAAAAGAAAGAAAATTATATTAAATAAGAAAAAGAAAGAAATAAAAGATAACTGGGCTGATTGGCCTGGCCAGGGGAGTGTCCACATGTCTCAGCACCACTCCATGTGGGTCCATCTCAAAGCCGGATGCTTAAAAAGAATGGTCCTCCCAAGTCAGAAGTGACATCCTCAGGCAAGTATGAGTAATGTGCTTGACTGCTTATAAAACTTTGTAATGAGGATACACTTCAGAACATTTTTTTATTTCAGAATATTATGAGGTACAAATGTTTAAGTTATATATATTGCCTTTGCCCCACCCAAGTGAAAGCTACAAGCGTGTCCATCCCCCAGACAGTGTGTACCACACCCATTGGGTGTGAGCATACCCATCCCCTCCTCCCAGAACATTTAAGTGGAAAAGAGGCAAAGATCAGTGCATGCAACTCACTAAAAGAGGAAAACTCCAATTGTAATTATAGTGCCTTACCTTTATAGGGCATGGTCCTTTTCAGTGTACTGTGACATATAAATGATGCCATTTTAGCCTCATACCATCCCGTGAGATCAGGAAGGTGATGGTTATTACAACAACGTTTCACAAAAGGAAATTGAGGTTCAAGTTGTAAAGATCATTGGTAGTTTCCAATGGCTTTGTCCACATGCAATATGGCGGGAGTATATTATCCTTCCATAGAGAGGGGCTGCAAATGGGAGTAAAAAATGTTTCCGTTTATATCAGCATAGTATCGTATAAAGGGCTTGTCAGCCTCTTTTGCTTGCACCATGAAGCTATCCTCTAACAAACACGGTACTGATTAAAAAATAACTCAGGTATAATCAGTCTAGTAGTCATCTTAAATAATGTAAAAATTAAATAATTAAATAAATTTAATATTTAAAAAGGATTAAATCCAAATTATGACTGTTGAGCACTAAACCCTCTGCATTAGCAAAGAAAGCAATTTTGCTCCGGGAATAAACTTTCTGTTTCTGGCAAGAGAATTGGATAGCAACCCTGAAGTTCTCCCGTGAATGGGTGTCAGGGTGTCATATTTGAATGTGTAATGAGTAAACATTGGCAGAAACCCCCTTTTCCACGTGACTTCAAAACAAACACCGGTCAGTAGGGAACTACCAGTTGTGCCCAGTAGAAAAAAATGGACTCATACACCCTCCATCCATGAGCAAAAAAATCCCCTGCCAAAATCACCTCCCTCAAAAATGTGGGGTGCCAACATGTTCTCACACTGTTCAAGCACAAAACCACACCCCCGGAAAGTCCTCTTGGCAGAGACATTTAAACAAAGTTCAGAGGAAGACAAAAGAAGCACATGAAACAGAGGTCAGGCATTCACAGAATTTTGCCATCCCTTAATCAACTGGCAACTTAAAACAAAAAATGAAGCATTTAGCAGTTTAAAGTAATTGATTTCTAATGTTGTCTGCCTTATGACTCTTATAATTCTAATATCTTATGATTCTATAAGTTTATATGATGAAAAAACCAAAACTACTTTCTTAAAGTGCAGAAAAGAAAGAGAAAATAGATATATTTTTCTTTTTTTTTTCTTTTCTTTTCTCATACAAATACACAGAGGAAGAGAAAATGTATACTTTTCATGTAATGAAATTTCACAGTGAACAGCACCGTGTTCCTTCCCCCCAAAAAACTTTATAGCTCCTGGACACTATAAATTTGTGTTGGGCTAGACAATCTGCACATAGAATTTGGTTCCTTAAAACTTTTTGGCACTGAGTTAGGACTTGATTTGTAGAAATGACACTTCCTTGATAATTCTTTTAGAGCAGTGAGGGGGAGGCAGTAGGATTTGCGATAGAGCTTTGCCATAGACTTTTTGTAAAGGTCACCAAAGGGAAAACCCATAATCGCTGCCCTTTAGACACAAGTATGAGACATGTTGTCCTAAGATGAAGGAGAATCATTATTGCATGTCACATTTCAGATTAAATAATTAAATTTTGGTGTCTTGCTCTTTATTTTTTCATGCTTTAAATAGAAGTCAAGTTAAAATGGACCTGGACTCATAGGAGATGTTTCTAAGTATGTCAGTTTGCTTTTCTTCTATGCATAGATGTAACTCTGTCATTTTGCTGGCATAATTGCTGGCAAATTCCCAAATGCGGGGATTTGACATTCAAATTTTGGTGTAAATATAAGTAAAATTGAGTCTCAATTACCAAGATACCAAAACAGGATATTTGAGCAAAAGAAATTAGGGGGGAAAAGGATGAATATATTAACTTTTTCCTCTCAGATAACCAACATGGTACCCTGCTGCTTTCTCTAGCTACTTATGCACTACTATAGAAAGAGTACATGATCAGGAGATGTATGGAACCTTTAGAGTGTAACTGAACACAAAGAAACTTCTCTACTTGCTAATAATGGTAAATAGTACAAGAGATACATGCACTTGGAAAGATTGTAGTTCATTTTGAGAAGAGGGTGTTGGTTATGGTGTCATAAGATCAAAATGGTTGAAAGGGAGGATTTGGAATCTATAGTTGATTTGGAATCTATAATTGCACATGACTTTTATTTCCCTTCTCAACAATTCAAACCTCTCTTTGACTCCTTAATCAAATGGCTAATGAAGCTGATAGGTAGTAGTAGAAGTCAGTAGTTGAATATACACATTCATGTATGCATATATGTATGTGCATGCATATATACACACACATACATATATGTTTGTGGAGGTGTATCTATATGGATATCTATTTATACATATATACTGAATATAAATACATATATATGAAGATTAAAGATACACATATATAGATATACTATACATATCCATAAATATATGGATATATGCATGTACATTTGGATAGATACATGTACATATATGAAAATACATACACATACACATTCATATATGTATTTAACTAGTTATGGCACAGCTAGTCAACTGGATTAAAAAAGTGAACCCACATGTTACACCATTCACAGAAGTAAGTACCTTTTGGATTAAAGACAACTGTAGGGGGGGCGGGGCTGGGAAAAAAAAGACAACTGTACAAAATAATACTTTCAAGAAAATCTTGCATATTATACTTACATATATGTACAATCTACAAGTGAAAAGAGACGTTCTTGACCAAATTCAGAAAGTATAAACGAAAAGGTAGAAATATTTGAAGACATAAGAATTTTTTGACAAAAGAAAGATTCCATAACAAGGTCAATAGACAAACGATAAGCTTGGAAATATTTGTAGCATAGATGACAGCAGGGTTTTTATTTTGTTTTGTTTCTGATTTTTATAAATGGACAAAAACAAAGACAACAAATTAATGGAAAAATGAGTAAAAAATTAGAACAGAAAATTTACAGAGGAGCAAACCCAAATGAGGCCAACAAGCAACTAAAAAGATGCTCACATTCAACCGTAGTCAGGGAAATGTAAATTAAAGTAACAATGATGTATATTTTTAAATCTAACAGACTGGCAAAAATTGAAATGATCAATAACCTCTATGGGTATTAGGTATGTGGAAACATGGGTACTCATACATTGCTGAGAAAAATTTAACTCTCAAAACTATTTTTGAAAGCATTTAGCAGCATACATAAAAAGTTAAAGAGGTGTGTGTGCCATTCAATCCCGAACTCTCTCTCCTTGCCACCTCTCACCGATCAGCAGTACACAGAGTGTATTTAAAAGGATATCTAATGTCAGAGAGTTTACAATAACAAGAAAAGGAGAAGGGACAGGGATCAGAGTAAATGCCAATCAATGAGGAACGTCTGAATGGGTAACAGCTCACCAACACTGTGGATTATTATGCAGCTGTTCCAAAGAAAGAGTTAGACTCATTAGAGCTAAATAGCCACTTACAAGAGATTTCTATACAGTTACACCTTAAGTGGAAAAAAAACAGAGACACAGAAAGTATATATTATTCAATACTCTTAAAACAAACAATAACCAAACCTCCCCCATATATATGTGCAAGTGTAAAATGTATATATATGGCTATGCATGTAACATGAAGACAGAAGTTGGGGTGATGCATCTAGTCAAGAATGCCAAGATTGACAGAAAATCCCAGGCACTGGGAGAGAGACATGGAACAGATTTTCCCTCATAGGCTTCAGAAGGAGCCAAATCTGCCAACACCTTGATCTTTGACTTTGCTCCAGAACCATGAGTCAATACATTTCTGTTGTCTAAGCCACCCAGTTGGTGTAAAGATGCTCCTCAATTTACAACAGGGTTGCATCACAATATTTTCAATTTACGATGGATTTATCAGGATATGGGTATTGAATGCCTATTGCTTTGCCATCATTTAAAGTTGAAAAATAGTAAAGGGATCATTGTACGTCAGAGACCATCTGTGCTGTGTTACAGCAGCCCCAGGTAACTAATGCACTTAGGTTTCCTCCTTGTCACCTCCTACAATGACACACATTTCTTCACACACATTGATCTGCTCAGTGTCTCCAAAAGAGATAGAAGAAATATTCAAATAGAATATTGTTTCTCTCCTTCAATCCTGTCTTCTCTATTTTGAAAGAGATATTCATAAAAGCATCACACATAACCATAAGTGGCTAATTCTACCCAAGGGCCAAATGAAACAAAAGGGAATGGGTCTCCAAAGGCTTGAGCTGAGCACTCTTGGGCCTGGCTGGTCCAACAGCAGTTGAAGGAAAGAATAGAAAAAGGATTTGCCTCTGGAGGTCCTTCAGATATGATATCTGATATCAAATAACCTAATTAGATTCTGATATTCTGCTTGTGAGGCACACTTCAAGACTGAAGCACTGTGTGTGTGTGTGTGTGTGTGTGTGTGTGTGTGTGTGTGTGTTTTGAGACAGAGTCTCACTCTGTTGCCCAGGCTAGAGTGCCATGTGTTAGCCTAGCTCACAGCAACCTCAAACTCCTGGGCTCAAGCGATCCTTCTGCCTCAGCCTCCCTGGTGGCTGGGGCTACAGGCATGAGCCACCATGCCCGGCTAATTTTTTCTATATGTATTTTTAGTTGTCCAGCTAATTTCTTTCTATTTTTTTAGTAGAGACAGCGTTTCGCTCTTTCTCAGGCTGGTCTTGAACTCCTGACCTCAAGCGATCCACCTGCCTCGGCCTCTCAAGCACTAGAATTACAGGC